TTTCGAATACCACTCGAACGCCTTTTTAACATCTTTTTGTATACCAACTCCCTTTCGATAGCAAAAGCCGAGGTTACATTGTCCTTCAACATCTCCACCCTCTGATGATTTCAAATACCATTTAAATGCTTTTTTCTCATCTTTTTGCACACCAACACCATTTAGATAGCAAAAACCAAGATTATATTGACCTCTTGCATTTCCACCCTCTGCTGATTTTAAATACCATTCAAATGCTTTTCTCTCATCTTTTTGTATACCGACTGCATTTCGATAACAAAAACCAAGATTACATTGTCCTCCAGCATCTCCACCCTCTGATGATCTCCAATAACATTTAAATGTTTTTTTCTCATCTTTTTGAACACCAACTCCATTGCTATAGCAAAAACCAAGATGACATTGTCCTCTTGCATTTCCACCCTCTGCTGATTTCAAACACCATTCAAAAGCTTTTTTCTCATCTTTATGCACGCCAACGCCATTTAGATAGCAAAAACCAAGATTACATTGTCCTCTTGTATCTCCACCCTCTGCAGATTTCAAGTACCAATAAAATGCTTTTTTCTCATCTTTTTGCACTCCAATGCCATTTTGATAACAAAAACCAAGATTACATTGTCCTCTCGCATTTTCACCTTCAGCTGATTTCGAATACCATTCGAATGCTTTTTTGTCATCTTTTTGTGTTCCGATTCCAATTTGATAGGCATATCCTGAAAAGAATTGAGCTGAAGAATTGTTATCATTTGATAACTCTATATAAATGTTCAATGCCAATGCAACATTCTTTTCAACTATGAATCCAGTTTGATAAAGGAATCCTAAAAGTAGCTTATATCGAGCATTATTTTTTGAATAGTTCTGAATTTCAAAAGGATGCTGACTGTAATACGATTGTAGTTTGGCACCTATTTTATCTAAATTTTCCTCTTTGCTAAGTAAATTATCTAGCATAGTTACTAGTTCGTTAATAATTTTATCACTCAAAATTTCTAATTTCATTTTGTTTTCATCTTCGAGTTTAACTTCTGATGGCCACTTGAGTTCATCAAGTTGTTGATTTACTTCGTAAATATCGAGTCGATTTTCAGGTAAATTGTCCCAACATGCTTGATATAACTCGATATATTTATTAGGAGTTCCGTGAATTGGTTTTTCTTTCTCATTTGTGATAAATGCATACCAATATGGAATACGACCACTTGAGATAACCCAAAACAAAACACCGAGGCTGTAAATATCAGATTTTTCATTGCGTATAAAGTTTTCCATATCTCTTAAGAATGCGGGATCCATATAACTTAATACTCCGTGTTTTGTCCCTGAATTTGAACTTTCGTTCGAAAGTTTTGAGTAGCCTAAATCTGAAATTTTAATTTTTCCATTGTGGATGAGAATATTATTATGATTCTAGTATCAAAAAAATTTCACAATCAGTACCAATCTTTTACTTAATAAAATCAATTCATTATTATTACGTGTGTTATCCCCTACCAAATCACGATGAATTACTTTTGCATCATGTATAACTTTTAATCCTTGCGCGAGTTGCTTGGCTAAATTTAGCTTATCGTTACCAGTCAAGTTAGAAAATTTTGCGTGTAAGTAATTTGCAAGAGTTCCACCATTGGCATACTTCATAACTATCATGTATTTTTGCGTATCTAAATCTAATTTAAAGGTCATTTAAGAAGAATTTTAAATTATAAAAATATAACTATAAATATATAATTTACCTTTAGTGATTCCGTAAAAACGAATTATATTTTTGTTATGATTGAGTTTACTAAGAAAGATTAACTATGAAATATTTTAAACAACAGTATGAATTTTAATAAATCTTTGATTATTAATTTATTTTTCTAAATTTGATAAATACCTCTTTGATAAATTTTTTATTTGATTCATCTGCGTAATCCCTGTCACCTAGATGAAGACTCTTTATTGCCACAATTAAATTTTCATTTTTCACTTCTGCTCTATAGACTTCACCAAACGCTCCAACTCCAATGACTTTTTTATCGGAAAATTCACGATAATCAAAAAATTTGATTTGATATTTCATTATTGCGGATTCTATCCATTCGTTTCCGTAAAATACTGTCATTTTTTCATTCCCGCTTTTTGATTCTAGTGACCCCTCGAATTCACTTACATCATAGATATATGCGTCTGGTTTTGATGGCCACTCGAGTTCATTAAGTCGCTGATTTACTTCATAAATATCGGGTCGATTAGTTGGCACATTATCCCAGCATTGTTTATATAGCTCAACATATTTGTTAGGAGTCCCAAAAATTGTAATTTCTTTTTCATCTGTTGGATTGGAAAATATATACCCGAATTTGTTGGATGGAATGCGACCGCTAGATATGACCCAAAACAAAACGCCGAGGCTGAAAATATCTGATTTTTTGTCGCGTTTAAAGTTTTCCTTGTCTTTCAAGAATGCGGGATCAATGTAACTTAACACCCCGAAATCTGCCTTTGAATTTGAATTGTCGTTCGAAAGTTTCGAATATCCTAAATCTGCAATTTTAATTTTCCCCTCGTGTATGAGGATATTATTATGATTCTGTCATCCAAAAAGCTTCGTGATTAGTACCGGTCCGGTCAGGTTTTTATTTAATAAATTGCGCCATGTCTTACCAAATCACGATGAATTATGCCTTCGTTATGCATACTTCTTAATCCTTGCGTGAGTTGCTTGGCTAAATTTAACTTTTCGTTGCCAGTTAACTTAGAGAAATTTTTGTATAAGTAATTTTTAAGAGTTCCGCCATCGGCATACTCCATAACCATCATGTATTTTTGCGTAGATAAATCTAAATTAAAAGTCATTTGTGAAAATTATTCAATTATGAGGATAAAAATACATATATTTACCTTTAGTGATTCCGTGAAAACTAATTATATTTTTGTTGTGGTTAAATTTGATAAGAATTCTCAACTAAGAAATATTTTAAACAATAGCATTAATTTATAAGTACTTAATTACTAATTTATTTCTAATATGATAAATACTTCTTTGATAAATTTTTTATTTATTTCTTCGGCGTACATCTTGTCACTTAGATAAAAACTCTTTAAAGCTACAATCAAATCTTCATTTTTCACTTCTGCTTTATAAACTTCGCCAAATGCTCCATTTCCGATGACTTTTTTGTTTGAAAATTTACTAAATTCGAAAAAAATTATTTGATTTTCTTTTATTGCGCACTCCATCCATTCGTTTCCGTTAAATGAAGATAATGGAATGCTTAAAGTCGAGGTCGTTGATTTACGTTTAATAAAAAATCTGTTTAAATTAAACATAATATACAAGTAATATTCGATATTGGCGATAGAGTTGCACATCTGAAACAATATCGATATTGATATCATTTTTCTCGGTTGCACATGTATCACACTCCACATGTATCACACTCATTTACTAATTTTCACCCAGGTTTCTGATTGGTTGAGGATATTAAAGGTTAGTTATAGCGTTAGAATTAAGGGTTAGGGTTAGGACTGGAGGGGAAAGGTTATATATAAAATTGTCTTCCCGACATTAATGCTTCAAGTCAGGTTTACCCATTCGTTTTCCGTATTTTTCACATTATTCGCCTTTGTTAAAGAAAGGGAATGAAGTCAGAAAGAAATAAAGGTTATGAAGATGTTTCTATCATTCGGAGGTTTGGAATTGTTAAAAATTTACAAATTCAGATATTTAAAAGAAATCAATGATGTGGTGGCTTTAGAAATTTTATTTTTTCACGTTAAAGAAATAATATTTAAATTCGATTTTTTCAAATAAAGCTTATCTTTATATTTAATTCTTATAATAATTTACGAATTTCGCATATTGAATAATGTAATTTTGCTAACAATGAATACGAAAAAAAGATTTTGAAAAATAAAAATAAAATTCTACGTAAAATCAATTCATCAATTCAGTGACGAATGAAATTAATGTTTCGTCATCACGTTAATGACGAAACGATTAGATTACACCCCATCACCAATTTGATCTTAACAGCCATATTTCTGTTTGCACAAAAACAAATAATTTGATAAAATAATTTAAAGTGCATGTATACCAATCGAGATTAGCAAAAGAATATAACACACTTAAAAGAAAGCAAATTCAATTGATTTAACGGTGTAATTGTCGCAAAAATATTACGTGGCACTGTATGTTATTGAATTCTTATTTAATCAATTTTCCTTCTTTTAATGGCTTATATCGATATACGTAGTGTACGCACACAATAATTAATTAACGAACCAAAAATTTCGTACATAGTGGATCTGGTGAATCGAGTTATTGATCTGAACTTCGTATTCTCCTGATACTTCCAAAACCGGTAGTGGAACCGATAGTCGGACACCGTCGCGAATCATTCAAAGAATTCTATATATATACATGTATATCGAGTTTATTTACTATGTTACACGTGCGTCTATAGCCGCCACAGTAAATATCGATATAGTAATAATTGATTGACTGCATAACGATAACAAAGAATCTAACTAAATTTGCGCAGCAAGCATACATCCATTCCGCCAACCAAAATCGTTATTAGTGTTGTTCAACAATAAAGAATGCAAATTGAAGATCCGAAACACATTCAATAAGTGAAACAATAATCGTTATCCGAGAACCGCACATTCAATCCGTCCGGAGATATGACCTATTCTTATATTTAAATAATCACACATACACGGCAAAACCACGAAAAACAATCAAACTAAAGACCAAGCTAACGAAAGAACGAACAATATTCTCTTGAAATTTTGCTAATTTATTTTGGTTCCTTGAAACTTTGTACATTTAGGACAACAAGAAAAACGAGAATAAATTTTTTATTTGTAGAGAAACATCTTTTGTTTATTTTTTTCTAACGAGAACATTTATTTTATTCACCTGTGCAGTTCGAACGTTTAAGGTCAGAAAGAAAAACAAGAACAAACCAAAGAGAAAAACTTTACGTTCTCATACACATACCAAAAACATGTCAGACTCATATTTCCTCACTCTCTTTCTGCTATTTCTTCCGGTAATAATTGGCGCACCAACAATCTGTTGCTGTTTATGCCGTCGTTGCTGCAGACGAGAACGAAACGGTCTTCCCTATTCTTACTTCCCGAGTAATAGCAGCAGTAGTAGTGATTCTTCGTCGTCGTCCTCTTCACGGAATCTTTTAAATTCCAATGAAATCGACCCACTTACTGCATTCCCTCCGTTGAATGGTCTAGTGGATGATCGAGTAGTGTACGTATATCAATATAATCCGAACGGTGAGGAGTTCGTGATGGGTACTGAGGGTGGAAATGCTCCGGGTCTGATAAATGGAAGGCCACAACCTGCGTATGGTGGAAATGGACGGTATTATGTTCCGCAAATGCCATTGATTCCACATCCACCGTATTATGACGACGAACCGCCAAAGTATGAGGATATAGTGGATTTATCGGTGTTGGGTGGTAATAGTGATAATGGAGTGGGTGGATCAAGTTCAGCTAATCAAGATTCAAGTACTCAGATAGAAATGGAGCCTTATAGGGATGATGTTGATGACGAGAATGATAATAATGATGAAGACTTGAGAGAGAATGATGATGAGCAAGGAGAACGAGAAAATGATGCAGAATCGAATTCATCAATAGGGAATAATAACAATAACAATAATAATGGTGGTGGTGGTGGTGGTATACAACCCTTGGTTATAATTGATGATGATATGTGAGACGTGGTTCTTTATTAAGTTTCAATGGCAGTTAATTTGGATTCGGAATTTCTCTTCGGAACTATGTATTATTTTCTTTTGTATAAACACCAAACATCTAGATCACGTGACAGCGAAAACCTTTTTCCCGATTAATTTACTTGAAACAATTGTAATTTAAGAATATTAAATTGATTGTGAATCCCATTGTATCTCTTTTTGTACATATTTTACAGTTTCACTTTTCTCAGGAACCATCATCAAATTTACTTTGTCTTTCTAAACTCACCCTAGCATTTACGTTTACATGGTTAATATTACTATCACTAACGCTAATACTATTATCATTCTGACCAATAACATTTAAATTTGATTTTGGTTCAAGAGATGATGATCCATCATCATCATCACCATCATCATCATCTCCTCGTAACGGTGGTGTCAAGTGTATTATGATATGAGAATTTGTGTCTGGTGGTGAATCCGTAGTGGGTGTGGTGCTAACAGTATTTGGTGATAATAATAGTGATTGATTTCTCGAGTGATTGTGGTCTTCTGAGGCAATAATAGATGAACCCAAAGAAATGATTAGATTTCTTGGGTGATTATTATTACTATCTCTCGAGTTCCGAATATCATCATCAGTTCCAGCGACAATGTTATTAGGAATACTATTATCATCGATCTGCTCGTCAAAACTATCGATATTAACACGATGACGGTTGTTTCCGTGTCCAAAAAAAATACTCCTCAATTTTAGTATACTGGCGGCTTCTGACAAATGTTTTTCGTCATTTCCTCTCCCATCGTTCAATAGTCCAATTCCAATCCCACTTTTCTTGCTCGCTATTTCCGTTTTGATCATACACGGAACTATACAAACTTCAGCAGCCACAGCCAATCCCAGCATCAAACAACTACTATCCGACGACAATACAGCTCTCAAAAATCTCGTCAATGTCACCACACCCATTCCCAAGAGCCCATAAGCAATCGAGACGTGTAATAATCGACGAAATTTCACGGCATGATCATTGGTTGGTCCATAAACATGTCCGGTGGTCAGTAATCCACGCTCTCGTAAATGTTCGATAAACACCCACGAAATATAAGCATAATAGACGATTGTCAGCGTGTCGTAGACAGCATTGAAGACGATTCGTCGATTTTCTATGGATAGAGCGTACACTTGTGAGGACATCGCCATGCGAGGTTCATCGACGATACTGAATAAAATTATTTTGATGATTGAGGTCAAGATCCAGGCTGCTCGTGTTATTAGGGGATATTTTGAGAATGGGGCAGCGCGAAGATAAAGAACCGTATCACTCAGACCAAATGCTATTACGTTTGCGCATATAAATAGCACGGTTTTTTGTGTTGTTTGTATTTGAGGTGTAGCAAAATCATACAGGCCCAAAAATAAACGTAGAATTCCAAATCCGCATGCAGTTGTTGTTATCATTAAAAGACGTTTTCTTAAGTAATACGTGTAGACGCACAGATGCATCAATGTTATAAGGAGATAAAATAGTGCTCCACCAAATATACAGGACAGTATGACTGCCCATGGTTGTTGTATTAACGTATTAACATCATTAGACGCATGTGATGTGGTATTCGTATCAATGCCCAGCAATTGGTGAGTTGGTGCAGAATGCATTGTGGTTGTGAGTGTAGCTGTAATGATCGATTGGCTTGCAACTGAATGCTTCATGTAGAATAGCTGCTTGAGTTGTTTGGTTTCGTGTTTGTTTAGCACTAAGGCTGACAACAACCGCTCCGCTTAATACAAAAAGTGTCTTGAAAGACTTTCTTCTTGTCAACTGAAAAGAGTACGAAAGAGTATTGAGATTTTTTTGTTACAATGCGTTTATTTTTTAGCGAAAATTTATCAAAAAACGACTTGTGCGAATTTACAACAACAATCGTTAAATATTGAAAATTACTATTGTTTCCGTATCGAGAGTCTCTGTTTTTGTGTCTATTTTCGTACGTGCCTATTTTGGACGTGTATGTTTTCGTACGTGTATAAAAAGAGAAACAATCGTTATCTAAAACGCGAGATGAAATCACCCAAGTTTTCTTCTGTTGTTGTCAATGATACTTAATAATAGGTACTAGGTTTGCTCGCCGGCAAAAAAAAAGTTTGTTTCGTGATAGCTTTGTTTGGTGCCCGCACGACATTAACAGGAGATTTCAAAAGAGAAGGAGAAAGAAGGTAAAAAAAAAGAAAGAAAATAAATGAGCCAACTTCTTATTATCACGCATTCTTTTTATTCTTACGTATCCTGATTGCTATTTATTGATCGATTCCACAAATCGTTCTGAACTAAGAATCTGATAAAACTCGCACACCTCCACCATTAATATGATACTCATCAGGAAAACAACTAATGAACGTGAATGATTCATGGCTTCCGATTTAATTATTAGTAATGATGCACACAATTTGAGATAAAGACATTTTACTTTTTTTTGTTAGTAATTTCCTAAATTAAACAATACTATTTTATAAACCTTTGATTTTTAAAAGCTAGTATTATTCCCATTTTCGGAAATTATAATTGGATCATATATTTTTATTGGTTATTTGGCACTGTCATACCAATATGTATTGGGTGTATATCGATATATGGCCTATGCTTTGCTAATTAACGTAATGTAACTCCCACTACCCGAAAATCAAGCCAACATGCATGAAATTGGGGTTTTCCTCACCAATTTAATAAATTGGTTCTATTACGTACCTTCTTTCGGAGACTCTATTGTCTACGAGAGAACTTTCGCCGATTCTATTGTACAAAGAAAATTTTAAAAGCCATTCTAAGTCAAATCGAATCCATTTAGATTTATTGACGGATATATTCGTTAGAAGGTACCAGACTTTAATTTACTCTTACAATCCTTCTAATGGGGTCCAAAGAAATTTTCAATCAAGTATCACACAATCAATCTTCTATTCTCATGCAGTCGTGTCTAAACAATAAAAGGAGTTTATTGTTAGAAAGAACAAGCCATCGTGAGATTTCATTTGTTTATACATGTTCGTTCAAAAACCAAGTAGATATTTATTTCAATATAAGCGTGCACTTGAGCTATCACAAGGTTTATTGTGTATAATCGAATTTGATGTAAGATTCTTCGTCTATGGAAAATTCTTCGGACTAGTTACGTTATACTGTATATGGTGCAGAACCTCCTAAATTGACAATATGTTTCATGATATAAATTATATTAACTTCTCAACTAGGAAGTAATGTAAACTCAAAATTTAACCGGTAATATTACTGGTTGAATTTTGGCTTGCTTCCTAGTTAAGAAGTTGATAGCGATAGATATAAGACACTGCACCATACAGTACGTACATTTAATTAAATCGGAAAATAAAAGTGGTACATGTATCGGTTTATGTAATTCACGAAAAACCAACTTTAATTTTTACCGTAGCGATAGAAATCATCTAGTCTCGTCAAAGTTGCGACAATGATGACATTTGCTGATACTCTTGATGATTATAGATTTTTGCTTCAAATACCACTTGTACAGCTTGTTTTATGTTAAATAAATACAGCTAATCACCGATATCGATATGACCAAGCAATTAATAAACCCGAACACCTTGTTATATCGAGGTTTGACTGCAATGCAGGTTTGAAGATAAAATAGGATGAAGATAATAATACGAAGAAGTTAAAAACTGTTTATCAACTTTATAAAAGAACACGGCAAGAATTTTGGCAGTAAATTAGGAACAGTATTGACGCTGCATCAAAAGAAACTTGAATCAGTAAATGTTCCAATTTATAGCGAATAAATGGCTGCGAAGCTTATCGAGAGAATCAACTTGTTGGATTAATAGTTCCTCACAAAAAAAGATAATGCTGTAAAACTATTATATTTCAATATTTGTTTAAGCTTGGGTATTTTGTGCTGGGTATAAAGTTAGGCTAACCTTTTCCGCGTCCAGCAATTTTTACGGTCGAGATTTAACTTACGACGATGATATGATACACAAATTGACGTCAGTTGGCGTTTTATCTACACTAGTCGTGTCTGGCCTTAATATAGCTATCCTAAAAAATTTTTCACCAAGAATCAACGAGGGTTTTATCTAAAGGGAGAATAAATTATAATGAATTCTGTGCTCAGAATCGAAATTTAGGGAACATTATTTTATGTTTATAAACCATGGATGCTGAGTAAAATTGTATTTTTGTATATTAATATTAATAAACTATTCTCAGTACTTGCATCACGAAAAGTTTTGCAAATACTAGCGGTGACATACAGCGTGCTTCGTCTCGAAAATTTAGCATTTGCTCGTCAATTGATTCAAACTCGAGGAATTTCTTATATGCAGAGGATGCATCCCTTTATTTCTTCGTAATGAATTTTAGATTCCAAGAGGAAGCGAGTGTGCAGATGATACTTTTATTTACAGTTGACTCTTTATAATAATGAATTCGAAACATATATCGTCTAAATCACACCAGTATAGTCCTCGGCAAAAGTAACGGGTGAGATTTTTGAAAGAGGCAGTTTTCAATAAATAAATATTGAAAGTTTACTTCTAAGGTATTATACTTCAAAAAATTAAGACAAAGTTCAGTATATATCGATATTGTATGTCAATCCAGGCTTGAATGCAAGTATAAATGCTAAAAACAGCAGTGACTTTTGTCTCAAATCACATATCGATATCTATGTGTTGTATTACGATTAAAACCTGTCCTGTTATGCAAGTCAAAGGTCACGCAAACCAATCAAATTCTATATGTACATGTATATACGTACGTATATCGATACGTATAAATAATGTTCAGTGAATATCGATATCGATATATAAATTAACGGCATCGACGACAATGGCATCGTCTTCATTTAAGGGAAACGACTGGATAGAATCTGCAATAAAAGAAAAAGAAATAAACTTTTTCGAATTCGATGAATTTTACGATAGGGAGGTCATTGGAATGGGAGCATTTGGCGAAGTTTATAGAGCAAATGTCAAAAACAATGACTTGACTGTAGCTTTAAAGAGTCTTTTTCTAAGAGACAAGACCGAAGAAATAAATAAAAAATTTATCAAAGAGGTATTTACCATTTAGAAGAATAAACTGCTAACTAAGACTTATAAAATTCACGCTATTGTTTAATATATTTCTTAGTTGAAATTTCTTATGGAACTTAACAAAAATAGTGTTCACAACAAAAATGTTATTCGCTTTTATGGAATCACTAAAGGTAAATTATATGTAGTTGTATCTTCATAACTGAATAAATTTCTCAAATAACTTTTAACTTAGATTTACACGCAAGAAAATACATGATGGTTATGCAGTATGCCAATGGTGGAACTCTTGAAGATTATTTAAACGCAAATTTTTCTAATTTGGCTGGCAACGACAAGTTGAATTTAGCCAAGCAACTTGTGCGAGGATTAAAATGCATACATGATGCAAACATAATTCATCGTGACTTGGTAAACATATTATATAATGAATCAACTTTACTAAATAAAACCTGTTACGAGTTACGAATTTTTTTTGATGCTAGAATCATAATAATATCCTCGTTCACAAAGGAAAAATTAAAATCGCGGATTTAGGCTATTCGAAACTTTCGAACGACAAGTCAAATTCAAAGACAAATGCCGGAATGTTATGTTACAATGATCCTGCATTCGTAAGCGATATGGAAACTTATATACGCAACCAAAAATCAGATATTTACAGCCTCGGTGTTTTGCTTTGGGTTATCTGTAGTGGTCGTATTCCGAACATGTATACAAACATCAGAAATGAAAAAGGAAAACTAATTCACGGAACTCCTGATAAATACGTTAAGTTATATCAAGCATGTTTGGACGATTTACCTGAAAATCGACCCGATATTTACGAAGTAAATCAACAACTCAATGAACTCGAGTGGCCATCAGAACCAAATATTTATGATGTAAATGAACTCGAGTGGCAATCAAACCAAATATCTATGATGTAAATGAATTCGAAGAGTCAAATAGCGCGAATACAAAAATGCCATTATTTAACAGCATAAAATCCGCAATAAAAGAAAATCAAATCAAATTTTTCGATTTTAATGAATTTTCCAATAGAAAAATAATTGGAAATGGAGCATTTGGTGAAGTTTATAGAGCAGAAATGAAAAATGAATATTTGACTGTAGCTTTAAAATATCTATATCTAAGGGACGAGAAGGATGCAGATGAAACAAATATGAGATTTATCAAAGAGGTATTTAATATATTTAGAGAAATAAATTAATAATTAAGGACATATAAAATTAACACGTTATTTTTAAAATATTTCTTAGTTGAAAATGCTCATTAAACTGAATCACAATAAAAATATAATTAGTTTTTACGGAATCACTAAAGGTAAATATATGCATTTGTGTTCTCATAATTGAATAATTTCACAATGATTTGAAAATCAGATTTATCTACGCAAAAATACATGATGGTTATGGAGTATGCCGATGGTGGAACTCTTAAAGATTATTTATATACGAATTTTTCCAAGTTGACTGGCAACGACAAATTGAATTTAGCTAAGCAACTCGCGCAAGGATTAAAAAGTATACATAATGCAGGCATAATTCATCGTGACTTGGTAAGACATATTATATAATGAATCAACTTTACTAAATAAAACCTGTTACGAGTTACGAATTTTTAATGCCAGAATCATAATAATATCCTTATCCACGAGGAAAAAATTAAAATTACGGGTTTTGGCTATTCGAAACTTTCGGACGACCATAGAAATTCTGGGTCAGACTATGGAGTGCTATGTTACATAGATCCCGCATTCTTAAGAGATACGGGAGACTTTATGCGCAACAAACAATCGGATATTTTCAGCCTTGGTGTTTTATTTTGGGTCATATCTAGCGGTCGCATTCCATCCAACAAATTCGGGTATATATTTTCCAATCCAACAGATGAAAAAGAAATTACAATTTTTGGGACTCCTAACAAATATGTTGCACTATATAAACAATGCTGGAATGATGTGCCAAATAATCGTCCCGATATTTATGAAGTAAATCAGCGACTTGATGAACTCGAGTGGTCGTCAGAACCAGTAGATAATAATGAATCAGAGTTAGACCCTGATTCATTGTCATTTTCATCGTTATTGACATTGTCATTACATGAAATGGATAGCGAGGATGAATAAAAGATCGAATGTTTTATGTAATAAGTGATGAATTATATAGTTTTCTATACCTTTTGTCATTATACGTAGAAAAAAAGATTGAATATAATCTTTTATTCAATCTTAATAATAATTACATTCATTTCGTGATTTTTTTACTTTCTGTATATTTAATTTGCTTTTCACGAATATTATTTGGTATCGTAGGTCGTACTCCTTTATAAATGTCGTATACAAGACTTCGCCACAAAATGGTCGTTCACTTGTGGCAACCTCGTATATAATCATCCCCAAACTATGAATGTCTGCAGCTTTAGTGTATTTAGTACCTCTGGACTCATATAGGGAAGAACTCCACAAATTTCGTGTTTAGATTTTTCTAGATCATTGGTAATTAATCTTAATTTATTGCTTCACCATAATCCATTACTATCGAGTATTCATTTGTAGCCGGGGTTTTTAATAACCAATATCAAAGTGCACTTTAGAGCAGTCAGAATCTAAGCAATATGCTTGTACTTCATTTTACCTCGTTTATATATCCCCGAATGTAATTTGCTTTGAATTGTGTAATGATTTCAACACAGCGTCAGTTTCTCCCTCTTGTTTAAATTAATTTTCTTTATGAACCCCATACTTCAATTCTCCGTCCAACCAGGTTGCTTTATAAATTAATCCAAAACCTCCTCCTTGTTCAAGTTATTCAAAATTTTTTAAAAGGGATCCATTCAAATACTGTATAGAAGTTAATTCTATTAGACTGTTGATATCTTTATTTAGCTAGACCATTCAACATATGTACGCACATAGGATTGTTAATCAGTCCCATTACCGTTACTAATTCTAGAAAAGTCAAATTGCTTAACGTTAACTATAACGATAATAAGATATTGCTATATCGACATTAATGGTTTGTGAAATAGAAATTATCTCCAAAATCAGCAATCTTCCTGGGACTGTTTCAGTCCTGGGATGGTTCCAATTCTACATTTTAAAAGATTCGAATTTCTCAAGAAGGTTTATTACTCCAATAAGTAACTTACAGTGGCTTACTTAAGAAATGGAACACGGAAAAAAAATTGGCGAGATACGAATATCTCTCCATTGAAGAATTGTGTCAAAATGAGAATTTTTTACAGTGTTTAAGAGTGTAATGAGTTAAGTCAAATATACATGTACATCATTTTTACATGTATACAAAAAGCACTACATGTATTTAATCCTTTGTGTAATGATAGTACGAAAATTTAACGTTAATATAAAGTTGCTACAGTCATCTTTCCATATAATCACGTTCTCAGGTGCTTTTAAGAAGTTGTGATCAAATGCATTACATCTAAAGTCATCAAACATTTTATTTTATAAAATGTATAAACTTCTCAACTAAGAAGTAAATACAAAATTTAATCCGTGAATATGATAGAATAAGCCCTTTCTGAGCATATTCACGGATTAAATTTGTATTTACTACTTTGTTGAGAAGTTTATAACATATAAACGTTTGATGACTTTAGATGTAATAGCTGGAACTGATAAAAGATGTGATTGTGGAAATAGTGTGACTATAAGAAATGATGATGATTTAATTCATAAGCCAGATTAAATTCCTATAAAAATTTATTGAAGAAACACTTGCAATATTTATACAGTCGAATCTCAATATTATCACTTCATTTTTGCTTGTATATATGGGATAATATAAACGGGGTGCGCGTGTAAATACAAAACTTAATTCGTTAAGTTTTTTGATAGTATCACCGGTTAAATTTGAATTTACAGATAGAATTTATAACATGAAACATCGATATTGTCGATTTAAGAGGTTCTGTACCATATACAGTTAATTAAAAGAGCTTTAAAGCAATGCATGTAATTCACATTATTTACCTTTTCTCGTAAACGCATTCAAATTTTAATTTTTACCATAGCAATAAAAAATTATATTGTTGTTATCTAGTCACATCAATGTTGCGATATTAATAGTAATGACCGTTTGCTGATAACCATACTAAGATTATCTCATAGATTTTTGTATATTGATATTATTTAGTAGGAAGCATATCTTCAAACGAAGTGTTCGGGTTATTAGTAAAAAATCTTGAAACATTCGAGATGGATCTACTATATATAACCGTTTCTGGAACCAAATCCGGTTTATCCAGGATTTATTAATGCTTCGTTATCGTTATATCGATGTTTTACTGTAATGCAGGTTTGAAGATAAATTAGAAGATGAGGATAAAAAGTTGAAAACCGTTTATCAAATTATCCACTTTCTAGAAGAGCACGGCAAGAATTTTTGGCAGTGAATTAGGAACAACATCGTACAGACTTGGTGTTGCATCTATAGACAAGTCAAAGGATAAAAGGATGTTAAAATATTTAGTACAAATGGCTGCGAAGCTTACTGAGAGACTCAACATGATGGACGAATAATTCTTATAATATTTAAAAAGATAATGTTAGAAAACTAATATTTGTTAAACTTAGGTATTTCGTGCTGGGCATAAAGTTAGGCTAACTTTTTCCGCGTCCAGCAATTTTTATGATCGAGATTTAATTTACGACGAAAATGTTACACAAAGTGACATTAGCTGGCGTTTTATCTACACTTGTCGTGTCTGGCCTTAATATATCTATCCTAAAAAAATTTTTTTACCAAGAATCAAGATTTTTATCTAAAGGGAGAATAGATTATAATGAATTCTATACTCAGAATCGAAATTTAGGGAACATTATTTTATGTTTACAAACCATGGATGCTGGTGAGTAAAATTGTATTTTGTATACTGTACTCAAATATTAATATTAATAAAGAAAAGGTTTGCTAATTTAAAATACTAGCGGTGACATACAGTGTGCTTCGTCTCGAAAATTTAGCATTTGCTCCTCACATTGATTCAAAACTCAAGAAATGTCGAGTCAAATATGCAGATGACTCATCCCTTTATTTCATGAATTTTAGATTCCAGGAGGAAGCGAAAATTGTGAGTGTGCAGATGATACTTCTATTTACAGTTTACTCTTTATAATAAAGTTTGTTATACTAAATTTTGAAAATTCAAAAACATATATCGTCTAAATCACACCAGTATTTGCACCAGAACAGTCCCAGGCGAAAGTAATGGCGGTGAGATTTTTAAAAGAGGAAATGAATATTGAAAAAGTTTACTTCTAAAATGCCCTGAGACAGAGTACGTATATGTCAATCTCTTGAATGCAGGTAGAATTTTGTCTCAAAACACATTTAGAATAACATACATGTAAAATGTATGCAGTGAAATATCAATAAACTACGTACGTATACCAGTGTAAACGATAACGATAACGATAACGATAACGATAATAATAATTAGGTAATGGTAAACACAGTACATGTACGTACATATTAAAACCTGTTATCAAATTTTTTTGCGTTTAAATCGAAGGTCACGCAAACCAATCAAATTTAACGAAATAACCATGTTAAATAATTTGCATACATGTATATCGAATTAACGGCATCGACGACGACAATGTCATTTTTGTCATTTAATGGAATTGACTGGATAGAGTCTGCAATAAAAGAAGATCAAATAAATTTTTTCGATTTTAATGAATTTTACGATATAAAGGAAATTGGAGAGGGAGCATTTGGTGAAGTCTATAGAGCAAATCTGAAAAACGATGATTTGATTGTAGCTTTAAAGAGACTTCGTCTAAGTGACAAGGAGTACGCAGAAGAAATAAATAAACAATTTATCAAAGAGGTATTTATCACCGAACACTATATAATTTTTGAACTATAATTTTTTAGCAATTAGTAGAATTGAATGATTTAGAAACGAACATTTTGATAATTATTTTATACAAAAAAAACCAATATTGTTATTTTATTTTATTTTATTTTAAAGTTATTATAATGTTCGGTGAATTGTAGTAAAATAAACTACTAACTCTAGACTATAAAATTAACGCTATATTGTTAAAATATTTCTTAGTTGAAAATTCTTATTAAACTTAATCACCACCAAAATATTATTCGTTTTTATGGAATCACTAAAGGTAAATTATATCGATATGTAGTTGTATCTTCATAATTGAATAATTTTCTCAAATAACTTTTAACTTAGATTTACACACGAAAAAATACATGATGGTTATGAAGTATGCCGATGGTGGAACTCTTAAAGATTATTTATATACGAATTTTTTCAAGTTGAGTGGCAATGACAAGTTAAATTTAGCTAAGCAACTTGTGCGAGGATTAAGATGTATACACAATGCTAGCATAATTCATCGTGACTTGGTAAGAAATATCATATAATGAATCAACTTTACTAAATAAAACCTGTTACGAGTTACGAATTTTTTTAATGCCAGAATCATAATAATATCCTCGTCCACAAAGGAAAAATTAAAATTTAAGCTATTCGAAACTTTCGAACGACAATTCAAATTCAAGGACAAATTTCGGTGTTTTAAGTTACATTGATCCCGCATTCTTAAGAGATATGGAGAACTTTATACGCAACCAAAAATCAGATATTTACAGCCTCGGTGTTTTGCTTTGGGTTATCTGTAGTGGTCGTATTCCGAACAAGTATACAGGTATCATAAATGAAAAAGGAAAACCAATTCACGGAATTCCTGATAAATACGTTGAGCTATATCAAGCATGTTGGGACAATTTACCTGAAAATCGACCCGATATTTACGAAGTGAATCAACAACTCAATGAACTCGAATGGCCATCAGAACCAAATTTCTATGAAGTAAATGAATCCGAAGAGTCAAATAGCGTGAATACAAAAATATCATTATTTAACGGAAACGAATGGATAGAATCTGCAATAAAAGAAATCAAATTAAATTTTTCGATTTTAGTGAATTTTCCGAGGTAAAATTCATTGGACGTGGAACGTTTGCTGAAGTTTATAGAGCAGAAATGAAACATGAACATTTGACTGTAGCTATAAAATATCTAAGGGATGCAGATGAAACAAATATGAGATTTATCAAAGAGGTATTTATTATTTAGAGAAACGAATTAATAATCAAGGACTTATAAAATTAATGTTTTTTTTAAAAAATATTTCTTAGTTGAAAATGCTTATTAAACTGAATCACAATAAAAATGTAATTGATTTTTACGGGATCTCTAAAGATAAACACGGAATCATTACAGGAGATTTATCTTCGCGTTCGCAAAAATATATAATGGTTATGGAGTATGTTGATGGTGGAACTCTTGAAAATCATTTATATGCAAATTTTTCTAATTTAACCGGAAACGATAAGCTAAATTTAGCCAAGCAACTCGCACAAGGATTAAAAAGTATACATAATGCAGGCATAATTCATTGCAATTTGGTAAGGAATACATGTAGTATGTAACGGTTGTGAATTTTATTAAACAAAAATTTGTATTGATTGCGAAATTTTTTTGTATATCAGAATCATAATAATATCCTTATCCACGAAGAAAAAATTAAAATTGCGGGTTTAGGCTATTCAAAATTTTTGAGCGACGATTCAAATTCACAGTCAGAACAAGGAGTATTCAGTTATATGGAAAACTGTATACGAAACACGAAATCAGATATTTACAGCCTCGGTGTTTTATTTTGGGTTATCTCTAGTGGTCGTATTCCTGGTTCATCTGAAAAACCAATTCACGGAACTCCTGAGAAATACGTTTAGTTATATCAAGCATGTTGGGACAATTTATCTGGAAATCGACCCGATATTTACGAAGTAAATCAACAACTTAATAAAATCGAGTGGCCATCATATAGTATTCCAAAAGCAGAATTTCCTCAGAATGGTGCAAGGGGACTTCAAATGTATCAACGTCATTCTAAATATCATCCCTTGTTACCACCCTTACTCCTACTCCCAAGTTTTCCACAAGCATCGATTAATAGAAAACAAACACAGATGGTAGTTGGAATAGGTATACGATATTTAGATTTCACGGTTATCGTTATCGTTATTGATCTTTTTTTGTGCATGTATATCGAATAATAGATTTTGGAATAACAGAAAGTAATTATTAAAAAATTGAATATTTTGAATAAATTAAGTCTTCTTAATTTGATTTAAATAGGTGACTTCCACCCCTACCCCTATCCAATATCGATTAATAGAAAACAAACACAGATGGTAGTTGGAATAGGTATGAGATATTTAGATTTCACGGTTATCGTTGTTATCGTTATTGATTCTTTTTTTGTGCATGTATATCGAATAATAGATTTTGGAATAACAGAAAGTAAGTATTAAAAAAATTGAATATTTTGAATAAATTAAGTCTTCTTAATTTGATTTAAATAGGTGGCTTCGCATTTTGTCCTCGACCTTTAAATAATGAACAAATAAATGTTAATACTATTGAAATAAATTCTACATGGTAAATATTCACGATTTTTTCAAATAAATAAAATAATTTTCTCAATTTATTAAATCTATAATTAAAACTTTCCTAGGGCTGGACATTATGGAAATTTCAAGACTAATACTGCATTACAGTATGACAGTAACTGGAATGTCACGAATTGGGTTATCCAGCACTTTGGAAAACAAAAGGTGACGGACAAGTATCTGATAGAAAACCCGTGGAATTGTTTAAGTTTCATTTATTCGATATCCCCGAAGATGAAAAGCCACTTTTACCGCCCGGATTAAATTATCAGAAAGCAATCGCGGATTATTTTCGTGAACTGGGAAAAGTAATTATGATTATTTTTCATTGAATTCCTTTGAAAATTAATTTTTAATTGAATTTTAGTCGATCAAAGCAAAATTGGAGCAAAATTGGCCACAACTTGATTTCTACAATGATGTTGAAATAGTAATGACTGTGCCTGTGGACTTCTCTGGAAACGCAAAAACCATTATGCGAATATGTGCTTTTGACGCGGGATTAATAAATAACAACATTCAGAAAAGCTAACGTTTACAACAGAAGGTAAATTAAAAAAAATTCTTTTTCCTTAAGATTGTCTATTTCATTACGATTGAATATTACTAACATTTGATTGCATTTGTAGCGAAAGCAGCAGCGATATATTGTCTACATTACGTTAATAATTATCAATTAAGAGATCACGGTAATTTTTTTGCGCGAAATAATAATATAAAGTTTGATCGATTTAAATAATCTAAATTGAACAATTATCAGAGCCGTATATGATTGTGGACTGTGGAGGTGGTATAGTGGATTTAACAACACGAACGTTATTGCCAGGAAAACAAATCAGTGAAGTTACTATGCGTACAGGGGGTTATTGTG